CGTTTATTTACACGTGATATTAAATATGGAATCTCGGTTAATATACATATTTTAACATTTTAGGTCCTGCAACAGCAGCTATCACAAATACGCAAAACAAGAAAAAGTGATGCACAGCTGGGTAAGATTTCTTTGACTCTACCGTTATCTCTGTACGTAGAATAGAACCATTTTGGTTTCTTATACGTAAACCGAAAATGTTCATCTAGAAAACCTGACTACAGAAATAAGATGCTTTGAACCTTTTGTTGCGGTGAGCTGATTGGAAAACAAGGTCTAAATAATACATGCTGATGTAGGTATCTATAACTCTTAATACGTTCCAGTTTTGCCAAGTGTAACTCTATCGGTACTGTCCATCTATCGGTACTATCGTTATTTTTAAGAAAATTAGAAGAACTATATTAGTTTAACTCAATTCTACATTCCCAAGCGGAAAAGTAGGTAGGGGTAATTTTCCGACGAGTCTCACGTATACTTACTACATATTGGATTCAATAAAAACCCTCGAATATCCTTCTGTACTTATACAAATCTGCATTTTGGCAATATTTTTCAAGTGCCACACTTCTGTTTCAGAACGCAAACCTCTACAATTTATCGAAGTATTGATGAATAACATAGATGCTGGGGACTTGGACCTGGACGAAGCCGTTGAGGAGGTGATCGATATGACAGCGGCTGTAAGTTACGATTAATAAACTGTGCCTTCATCTCTTAAAATTTCATTTATCTCGCACAAGCTCGTATAGGTATACCTGCCTTGCAACGCAATATTTTACAGACGCCACATCATTGCCGAGGTAGCTGTGATAATGCCTGACAACGTTGTATCAAAGATGCGACAAAGTTATTTAACCTTTGCAGTCAAGGAATTTTATCTTTGTCCAAAAACTGTCTTTGAAGATGGAGACCCTTCGGAACCATATTTTGATACTCAAAATTGTTGATTTCACTTAAGACTCCACGTGAACAATCGTGCCCTCTTATTATTGGTGTAGAAATCTCATTTTTTCCCACTAACTGAAATCATATTTGCCAGTTTCCGTGACATACTATTGCAATTCCAGGGATCTCTGACAACGGCAATGTCAAACGCTTGGTCCCTTAAAGTGCTAGCCTCTCACCCGGACCTCCAAGAAAAAGCGTACCAGGAGGTTTTCAGCATTAACCAGGGAAAAGAGATTAAATTCGAACAACTCTCACAACTCGTCTATGTGGAGGCTGTCATCAAGGAGACTATGCGACACTTCGGGGCTCTTGTTACTGGTCGCGACGTCCTCGAGGATCTGCAGGTCGATGGTGAGTTTTTACAGCCTATCGCGTCCATTTTTACAAAAAAACCCTGCATATATGAACGTATTTCTATCGAACAGAACTACGTGCAGGTGGAAAGGTTTCGGGACATTTTGTCAACAATTTTTTGTCCGCGCACCTTTTTTGTCCAGTAGTTTACGCCCACACGTAAAATTAGCAATGGTGACTTGATTCAAGCGTTATATTTTAGTCGGTATGTAAAATTAAATCGACAATATATGGAAAGGAGAAATTGAGAGAGAAGGAGGTATTGTTATGGTTGCTCATTTTCTAAATAAAATGTTATTACTTTCTCCTTTTGAATAATCTTTTTAAATTGTCATTGGTGAATATTTGGTTTTATCTCTATTCTTAAAATTTTCGATGTACAATATACCCTATATGTGTATAGGTACTTTTATTATTTTTTTTAATTTTTCCTTTACGAAATTATTACTTCATTTTGAAAACATTTTTATTTTTAAAACGTGACAAATATTTGTAAAACCTTTTCCAAGCGACATTAATCTCAATAAGCCGCAGTTGTGCCGACAGAAACTGCAAAAATGAATAAAAGAGGGAAAAAAACCAAGAAGCACGCAATCTTTAGTTTTAACCCATTTGTACATCGATCTTTTAGAGCTAAATACGTCAAATTTTGAGCGTTTCGTTGCGCGTACACCTAGCTGCAGCACAATAAAAGCACAAAATGTAAAAGAAAAAATTAAAGTGCTTTAGAAATCATTAAATTTGACACGGAACCACCAATATTTAAAAAACACACATTATATTATTCTTCTCCTTTGATAAATTGATACATATTTTTTTTACCATCATTTTAAATGAAAATAATCAATGCAGGGTTTGCTAACATTTCAAAATCATGAGTTAAAAAACGCTGACTATGCGAGTATAAATATCAAAGCCTAAGAGAGCGAAGCGGCGCGGCGCGGCGTTCTGCCAGCGCGAGAGGCTCACTGGCGCCTACAAACCTAAGTGGATACTTCACGCATTGCACAATGCTTGAAGTATCCACTTAGGTTTGTAGGCGCCAATGCGCGTTTAGCGCTGGCCGCCCGCCCGCCGTGCGACGGCGCCTGAAGCAACTATTTCACAACAGAAGTGTTGCACAGTATTATACGAAATTGAACGTATTAAGAATAACAGGCATCCTTTAAAAGTACAGATCTTTCCTCGCAAAATAAATCAGGATACTTATCGTACACTGGAAAAATCTAAGAGCCTTTAGCTGAGGCAAGTATGGAGGTTTATTCGGTTCAGGTATAACAAGGTGGGAAAATCTTTAAAGATAATTAAGTCCTGTTACACCAAAGAGGTGTAGAGAATTTTAGTGAATTTTGTCTCATGGAATTGACGCTTTCCCATTTTTACCAAAACTCTCAACTATATATTATTCTCCGTTGGACCGCAAACAGACGAAACAAAAAAACAAGCAAACCCTCATTCTTCCAAGACATTTTACATTTTCATCCAAAAACGTCGTGAACATTGTCGTTCGTATTTACATGTGGGCCAATTAACTTTGGGTCTCAACTGGCACGTGGACCAAAACTCCCGTGCTGAAATAACGCATGGACGTAAATTACTGGAAAAAACAGGTGCGCGGACAAAAAATCGTTGACGAAATTTCCTATAACCGGTGAAAAAGATGGGGTGTGCTCGTCAGTCGAGGACCGTAAGAATAAATGGACGTATTTCTGCCAAACGGAACTATGTGCATTAAGACATGAGCCCTGGGACCCATAAGAATATATGCGTAACAGGGCTCATGCCATAATGCACATAGCTCCGTTTGATAGAAATACATCCAAGTGGGAATCATAAAGCGCCAGTGACGTCGGCGTCGACGACTGCCTTTCATAGAGAAAAAAAAGGAGGTGTTTGCATTTCGGGCACCTTGGAATTTTTTGATGACTTGATGACGTAGGTGGGTACAGCGACGTTTAGCTAAATATGAAAAACGGACCATAATGTCCGATGTTTTTTACTTAAATCAACTCATTATATAATTTCAAGCACTTTTTACAGAATGACTTTTTTCCTTAAATTACACCATTTCCAAGAAAATCGACAGGATACAAACGTCGCTGTACCCACCTACGTCATCAAGTCATCAAATAATTCCAAGATGCCCGAAATGCAAATACCTCCTTTTTTTTCTCTATGACTGCCTTTCACTGCCACCTTTAATTTTTCCCACAGTAGACAACGTGTAATCTTGTCCCAACGGCTAACAAAATGAGTATCTATATTTGAAATTTTTCTCCATCTCGGACAGAATATGTAGTATGTGATAAAGTGAAAGGTAAGAAAGAAGTAAGTTTTGGCTCCTACATGATTGTGAGTGTATGTGCCCATGTTGCAACACCTCTACCACCATCTTTTTGATCCATGTCCTAATTTCCATCAAATGAGTTGAGGTGCCGGACGCACCACAGAGTTAGCTTTAGGGGCGTTATTATCAAACCAGCCCCTCACACAAGTTCAACTGCAGATTTGTAAATCAATCACTGGAAAGGTTCTTTACTTCGTGTTTATCACTGTAGAAAAAACAACTATTCCGGCTGGAGTATCACTGCTACTGGCATTATATGAGCTACACCACGACCCGGAGCTGTGGAAGAAACCGGCGAAATTTTATCCAGAGCACTTCTTACCAGAGCTTGAAAGCCGTCGGCCAAAAGGATCATTTTTACCTTTCTTAGTTGGACCAAGGAACTGTCCAGGTAAGACGTCTCTCGTTAATGGCACGTTGAACACTACCTTCTGCTTGAATATTAACTCAATCAATTCACAGCACAATTTGCACATAAAATCATTGAAAAATCATGATAATTTTGACATGATTATAAACCCTCTATATTGATTTATTTCTACGATATTTTTTATAAACATAATTTTAACAATACGACGAACATTTTTTTTAAAAACATAATTTTAACAATCATCATCGGATTCAGTGAAAGTTGTGCCCATGAAAGATATTTTATTTACATTTTTAATATACACATTTAACATTTTATTCACACTAGCCCGGAGTCAGTCGAATCGGGCGGCGTTTTAAGTGATTCCTCCTCCCCTTGAACGGCTTCGAGTTTGAGTTGCTGCGGTTATACCCAATAACTACTTGGTACTTGGGAATTAAGTGCGCGTTGCACTCAAACTCAAAATTTTTCCTTCTTTGAATTGCTCGCACTCGAATCCGCTAGCTCTATGCGTAGCCGAGTTCTTGAGTAAGAGCGGTTTCGAAATCGAGGGCCTAATACTCGAACGTCTGATGCCTCGGACTCAAGTACCCTAAGTCNGTTACTTTGAAAAAAGAAGATTTGTTGTTTGACAAATTTAATTTGAATAAGAAAGCATAAAATAATAACATTATCTTCACGCGCGACCGTTGACATGTGTTAACTATATGACATGCATGACCTAAAGGGGGAAGGGGGGGGGGGTTCATGATGAAAGGAAATTAGCACATATTTAAATGGATAATACGACTTACCCTCGCGGTAAATCTACCAAAAAAGTGAAGCCGTTTCATCTTGGACCGCAACAATGCATGGCGCGGCCAAGCCGAGCCTCACCGCGTACTAGCCGCCGTTGGTTCGGACCGCATAGCGCTCCGGGGGCGGACCCCCTAGTGTATTCATAAGCATTTTTAGCATGGAAATTTCATGCTCTTTCATTCCGGTGAGAACACTTTTTTGCCTCAGACTCGCCGTTTTTAAGATAATTACAGATTTTGTTGAAAAAACGTGATATCTCGCAAGATTTGACTTTCCTAGCCGCAGGAAACTACCGCCATATCTCAAGAACCAGAAGTCGCAACTTGATAAATGTATAGTGTTTCTAATAGGAAATTTTATGATCTTTTTAAAAGGTTCAGTGACGTTTTTCCGTAGGATCGATATTTTTCAAGATAAAAGCTAAAAACCGGTCGCCGGCGGCGTATTTTGGCCCCCCGCCCCCCCTTTTTTCAAGATGGCGGCCTTAGCGGACGGCCGATTTTGGTAAACTTTTGATATGTTGTTCTGGTAGCCTAATGCAACATGTTTCCGCAAAAAAACCTTCTATATATGGATTTTCCCAGATGACCCTTATTTAGAGCTAAATTGACTGGACTACTTGGGAATTAAGTGCGCGTTGCACTCAAACTCAACATTTTTCCCTCTTTGAATTGTTCGCACTCGAATCCGCTAGCTCTATGCGTAGCCGAGTTCTTGAGTAAGAGCGGTTTCGAAATCGAGGGCCTAATACTCGAACGTCTGATGCCTCGGACTCAAGTACCCTAAGTCAGAATTTGTCTTGCTCCCGGTGCGGTTTCCAGATTTTTTGTTCAAGTTAGGTAAATATTTGACAAGCTCGCTTAGCTGGTAAAAAATGAATCCGCCAACGTGAAGTCCCTCATAAAGTGACTGTGAAAGCAATTTTTGACTGAGTAAATCACTAACATGAAACATTATCTTAGGTATAAATACGGTAATGTTAATGGATTCGTCGAAAATCAACTTCCAAGCTTATAAAGTGGAATGCTGTTGTTGTTTTATACATTTATTTATAGATGCTTTAACAAAGCTCTCACTCAAGAGAGAGTTCTCTTCTCTGCATGCATGCAGGCAAAGCTATAGATCTGAAACTTTGACGGGGTCTCCATGACTGTTGGGTAAAAATTGTCTGATGAACACTTCAAGTCTTTGCACAGGCTGGAAACCCAGCTCATACAATGCTCAGATGCTATTCCTGTGAAAAGTTTTTGGTCGAATTTGTCATGCACTTCAATTGTGGCCGAAACCTTGAATTTTTCATACGATTGGAAGTAGATCCAAGACGTAATGACTGGCACCATTGTTGTACTTCTCTCAAAATTTGTCCTAACTTCCAAAGACACTATATTGTAAGATATCTATTTCCTAGTTCTCAATGAAGTACTTACATATGCGGCAAGGATTATACGATTACATACGTTATCGCATGTAAACTTTCGCGAGAAAGACGATGATGAACGAACTTCCAAGCACTATAAAAGCTCTCTAAATGAAGACCGTAATGAAGGGGCTCAGGATCACCTGTGCGGAGAGTCCGCCTCTTTATCCAGTCAAACTTTCCTAGTACAGATAGGTAGCAATTACATTAGAAGGGTTAAAAGGTAACTCCTCTATTGTATTTGCTTTTTCATTTTTGGACTGGAAATAGAGATGAACTCTTACTATAATATAGGCAATCTGTGCCATTGTCTCGCCATTACGGTCTGCACTTTGAGAGCTTTTCATGGGCATGGGAAATCTTTTTTCACAGAGAAACCCTCTGCACCATCGTGTCTAAATCGCGCAAAAGAAGTGAAAATAGTGCATAAATCGCATATCGACGGTGAAACTACCAAACCACGTATCTCGGTTTGCGACGTCGCAGACTTCCTGTCATACTTTATTTTTTAAATGAAAAACTACTTAACGTCCAGTCTTAAACATTTCTGTGATTTTTCTTCTTCGTGCGGAGAAAATTCTGTGAACATTTCAAGGAATGATATTGAATTGTTCTCCTCCAGAAAAATAAAATGAGAGCGGAGATTTTTAGACACCGCAAACGAGATACGTGGTTTGGTGGTTTCACCATCGATATGCCGGCAGCAATGCAGCATACAAGAGCTCCATTGAAGAAGATAATTTTGCACAAAGTTTGCTCTTAAATGCAACGATTACGTCCCAGTATGACGACAAGTATTTCATTTTCCCTTTACTCCCTCGATGAGCGGTTTGATGCAATTTTTGAAGGAGGTTTTCCAATACCAACTCAGTCTGAGCCAAGGCACCTCGACGCGTTTCTTGACCATGCACTTTGAGTAACGTCGGCCCTTGCCACCGACCCCATAGCAGCCGCCATCTTTCGCCTCGGGACAGTTTCTTTGGTAGATTGGGTCGAGCTTTCTGAACGCAGCCAGACCTTCAGCACATTGCTCACTAGCCAATTTTACGGGACCGTTCTTGTCTTTTCTGGCTCTTTTTCCGGCCCTGATTTCATAATACTCTTCCACGGCTCTGGCGCAGAGTTCGTCGTCTCTTCCGATTTTAAGCGCCAATGAAAATGGGTCCTCCTGTTGGTAAAGTCACAGAAATGAGAAATTGGATAGATTAAATCCCTGCAGACCCTTCTTGGATCGGTTCTGGTAGAAAAGCTCATGTCCAAGATTTTCAAATTCCTTTTATTCTACATTTCTGGACTCGTGAAGAGTTCTCATGCATCTTCTAAGGTTTTTTTATTTTTACTTTTGACAAAAGGAAAAATGCGTGCATTTCCTTCAAAATCTGGTTTTTTGGACTTATCAATTTTACCATAAACCATTTCATTTGCTTAAGTTACAAACAGGTCAATGCAGACGCAAGTTAGCATGGACGACATGATCATGGGTGAGATGTGGCACGTTCCGGAAGTGCTTGTTGCTTCAAACCGTGAAAAGATATGTCCAGGTTTCAAATTATTATAGATCATTTAAATGAATGAGATGTGTCTTAGTGTGGATATCTGCAGCACTGACGAAAACGATCCAATCGTTAATTAATCAAAAATTGACAATAAATACTTTTGAAGACTTTTTTAAAATAATTTCAATAATCAATGAAAAAGAGTAAGCCGCAAGAGGGAAATTTTGCAATTACTTAATGCGTTCTTATGAGACATACGGTTTATTTGCATTCCGCCGCCAACACGCCCTTGTAAAAATTGGCAGTAGAATCTATGTTCCAAAATACCATAGACCTACAGCCGACTGTAAGATTTCCAAGAGCTTCTATAGCCAGCAACACAATTTCTTATAGCCTTTTACAGCCGATAGCGATTAAGCAACAGCCTGGCGATAAAGTGTATGCTAAACGTTACTAATTACGGATGCTAGGACTTAGTGAGTTTTTGGACTACTGCTCTCTTTTTGGGCCTTAGTATCTTGATTTATTTTGCGAGGGAAGCTCCATACTTTTGAAGGATGCCTGCCATTCCTAATATGTTGGAGCGCCTTCAATTTCGTACGATACTGTGCAATACCTCTGGTGTGAAATAGTTGCTTCAAGCGCCGTGGCACTAAGGCGGGCAGACAGCGCATTAGCGCCTACAAACCTAACTGGGATACTTCACGCTTTGCGCAATGCGTGAAGTATCCCTGTTAGGTTTGCAAGCGCCAGTGCACCGCCGCTCCGCTCTGTGTTAGTCTCCAATATTTAATTTCGTGGAGTCAGCGTTGTTCAACTCATGACTTTGAAATGTTTGCACACTCTGTATGGATTATTCTCATTTTAATTGATGAAAACAAATATGTAGTAAAGGAAAATGTAATGTGCGTTTTGTAAATATTATGGTGATTCCGTACAAACTTGCGGATTTACAAGGCACACGAATTTCTACACAATTTCTTATAGCCTTTTATAGCCGATGGCGAAAAAGCAACAGCCAGGCGATAAAGTGTAAAGCCCGGCGACAGGAACTATAGCCCGGCTGTTTAACTTTTTATCGCTTCGCATAGCCCGGCCGTATGATTTTTTCCACTTTCTACAGCCAGCTATATAATTTTCTATCGCCCTCTTCAGTCGGCTAAAAGAACTCCTATGGTATTTTGAAACGCAGCTCCTATCGCCAATTTTTACCAGGGCGATGAGATAGAAAGACAAGATCACCGAGAATCTTTGGTAAAAAAAAAAAAAAAAAAAAAAAAAAAAAAAAGTCGAAAAAAGTTTTTTTTTGA